ACTCCCAGAATTCCCCAGCCAGCCTTGCTGGCTGGGGAATTCTGGGAGTTGAAGTCCACATGCCTTAAAGTTGCCAATGTTGAGAAACACTGCTTGTGTCCTTAAAAATCCTCACAAAATGGGAAAAACCAGCCCACTTGAGAATGGATGGGTTTTAAGCTTAAGTTTTTCCAAGCGGTTCAGATGTAGACAGAGCCTGATCAATCCACATTTCTCTTGCTTTCCATCCAGAACGCTTCCCCACTTACCTTTGACGTTTCCAGCAGCTTGAATCTTTGTCCAAGTCTCTTCTACAATTCCTGCTTCCGTCCCTGTGGAGGCAACAATAGCCACAAGTAGCCCATGGCTTCTGAGAGCACTTGCTAGCTTATTGGCTGTGTCCACCCAAAGGTCTTCTTTGGAAGAGACGATGCCGACCTGAGCCCAGCTAAAATATCTCAACACGGTGAGGAGGACAGTAGCTGAAGAAGGCAAAGTTCTTGCAAATGTTGGGTGGTGAATTGGATTATCCAGTTCGTCATTTAGGCAAACCCAAGATAACATGGTTTTATTCCAGCCTCTGGTTAGCGATGAAGCAGTGTCACAGTAGCCAGGATTCAGAGGTCCTATGAATGCTGACAGATGCTCGGTGGAGCCAGCAAATCTAGCAATTGCTTTCCAAGTCTGGCAATCTTCCTCGAACACTACGTAATCCATTTGATGGACAGCAGTGATAGAGAGATCTTTCCTGATTCTCTCCATGGCTAACTGAGCAGCCACTTGGGGAAAGGTGTTGGAAAAGAAGGAGTTGCAGGACCAAGGCCCCACCAGACCGATCTTAAAGACCTTGCAACAGACTGGGGAAAGGATCAGGACCATCCCTAAGATGACACCCCTGCAAAGGGTCAAAAAGATCAAAGAGCACCATCTGGCATATGAAGAGAAGATAAGGGGGCAACAGCTTAAGCACGGCTGGAAAAGTGCCATTGTGTCCCAACTGACGAGGCCAAGACAACCGTCTATAAGGATGACCAACCTGGGGAAGGGAAGAAGAGCTTTAAAGATGAGCCTTGGTGGGTCTGTTTTAAGCAGAGACATTTACCTTTCCTTAAGTTAACATGCACCATTTCTCATGCCAAGGAACAGCCTTGGCCTTTGACTGGCTTGCCAAAGGCTGCCCCTACAAGAGGAGGTAAGACTAGGACAAAACCAAGCATTTATTCCAATTAAATCCAACCCATTATTAAGGTATAATTCAACCTCACATTTGCATCTTTATCTGCTGTTTTACCCCAGAGTTATGTTATGTTAGTACATATAATGACTTGAAGCTAAAAAAAAAAAAAAAAAATCACAAGGGACATGACCAAATCATATGAGTGCAGTGCTAACACAAGGAATCTGATATCCAAACCTTTTAAATTTTAAATTTGTTGAGGAGTATAATGAACGCAGAACAAGATTTTCTTATGAATTAACTTCATCCTCAGATCTAAGAATACTTTACACTTCTTAAAATTTGGACCTGATGACTTCCCAAAATTTTGCCTCTGAGGAAAGTTATTCCACCATGGCTGATGACTGTATAGATTGTCAGGGTCTTCCATGAAACTATTTTAAATTAGACTTTCTAGGGAGAAGGGCATTAAGACTTTGTTTTCAGCCTTCCCCTGTAAAATCTAGGGCAGTGTTTCTCAACCTTGGCCATTGGAAGATATGTGGACTTCAACTCCCAGAATTCCCCAGCCAGCCTTGCTGGCTGGGGAATTCTGGGAGT